AGAGAGAGAGAGAGAGAGAGAGAGAGAGAGAGAGAGAGATGCCATGGGCTTGCGCCGTTTTGAAAGGGTAATGCAATCATGCAATGTACATAAAAATAATTTTCAAGAAATCATTCTATAATCATTTGTAAGAAATCCTGATTTGTCGTAGAGCAGGTGTTCGCGCATGGGCAGTGTGTTTTATATGTTGCATCTGTCCTGGACTGGCGACACAGTACGCACGCCTAGCACTGTGCATTGTGAGGTGGATTACGCTCGATTACGCTGCAATAAAGTCTGCCATCGAGGTGATCTCAGGTACTCGCAGGCTGGCATTTGCAGGTACTGCGAATGCATGTATATTTCAGCATACCCCGCGCGCGAAAACTATTCATCCTTGTGTGCGCGGGCAAAACACTGCTAAATTTACAAAATATTATCAACCGTGGGGCGGACTTTGGAGCAAAACTAAGAGTTGCACCGGTTGGAACCGGTTGCCACCCATGCAAAATTGAGATTGCAGTGATACACATTTAGTGCCACCGATACTGGTTAAGGTGTGTTAATAAAATTAAACCGGCACATTTACAAGCAATTCATTGTAAATACATTTCATGCAGCATTTCAATAGCATTCGTTCCTTGACGAAGATATGTATAGATGACATTTTTACTACATAAAATAGGGAACAATTTGCAAACACATAAAACGGAACTATCTCGCGCGTTAAAATCGTTTTTGAGAACTAACGAGCCAACTAGCTCATCAACGCTGCATGTGGAATGTGGCAAAGTGGCACACACTATGCCTACCAATAAACCCAGTATTGTTCGTGAGTTACCATGCGCATTAACTCTACCTGATAGCCACGCGTTCTATCGCATTATGATAATCACACTATCCCCTGTCGAGCTGTTTATAGCGGTGAGAATGCACGGGCCTGATAACGATTTCTTCATTACACAACGAAACTCTGTAAACAAACACACGCACGAAATATATTATAAATTAGTATCCGTAGTTTGATGCGCGCACGTAACAATGCGACCGCAACAAATATTTACCACTGTACACACAAAAATCGTTTTTAATAACGCCCGTTTGAATACCACAGAGTTTACGCTAGGAATACGTACATGAATTAATAAAAAAGTGAAGGCAAACATTTCCTCTTCAAACAGGAGGGTTCATACATTATATACGGATAAATATTACATCGTGCAAAGAGGCAACAAAAACAGCCCCTTATCTCAACAACCCCATCGCCTAGTGAAACAATGAACCAAAGACTTGCATCCGTAGAATGTAATCATGAGTAAACATCATATTAGATGATACCATACACTCCTCACGCAATAATAGGCGAGCGATGAGACACCCATGCATGTTGACCAACTGGCAGCTGGGCTGACGTAAAGAATAGTGTCGAGGGAACGCCACGTGGACTCAATGAATAATACAAGACGTTGACGATGATTAAGTTGCCGACGACGTCCCGTATGACGTTAACGAATCAGGTGACATGTGGGTGTGGGCGTCTTCGCACTAGTCCACCTACACAGGCAGTGAAGCCAACAACGGTTTCAGTCACGCGAGGAAAGACGAGGTCTGCGCGTCGCCCGCGGCAAGCACTCAGCGTGTAGAAGGTGAACGCACCTGCGAGTGACAGCGCGACTCACAGCTCGACTAAAACGTCGTCAGGCAGGTATAATCGCCGACGACTCGCATCGACTCATATAGCTTATTCATGGTTTGCGAGAATCCATGTCTTTAGGCCAACGCTGCAGCTACAGTTAGATGTGGTCGGCTTCGTTGACAATAACCAAGGGACGACGATACGACGAGAAGATGAGTGACAGCGCGCGGCGCGTGACAACGCTAATGCTCGTCTCCTGCCTGGTAAGTGTACAGAAGCATTCTTACTCGTATACATTTGCCGCGAACACTCACGGCTTTCATCGAATAATAGCCGACTAGCCAAGCTCATCCACAGATATCCCTATTAGTTTCTAACAACAACAACTATGTAATTTAAAGTCTACCTACCTAAATATGTCATGAAGATGACCACCTTCGCGTGAGACAATTCCATTCGAAAAACCTTATAAATTACCCAGGAATAAATAATTGGCAATATTTCAGAACCATGTTAAGCGAAATAAAGTAGTTTTAGTTGTTTTAGTAGTTTAGTTGTCGTTTTAGGAGTTTTGTACACACACGAACGATGAAGTGAAAATGAGAGCAGGTGTTATTGCCGTTGAGAGTGTGTATATAAGAGGGAATTAATGAACACGCTTATTGTTAGAACTTAACTAACTCGACAACAGGGGTCAATCTGGCGACAATGTTAAGCCAGTAAGCTACAGAATGCAGACCATAAAATAATTACCATTGCAAGTTTGCTGGAAACGTTTAAAAATTGATGACGTTCTTGACAGAAATGTTTCTATGACTTGCGTATATAGCGCAATAATAGGCGATTCTTGTTCAAAACGATTTGGACAAGAAACAAGATGTTAGAAGGAAAAAGCACATGCACGCGCACACGCACACGTGCACGTACACATACACATACACATACACACGCACACGCACGCGCACGCGCACGCACACGCACACGCGCACGCGCGCACGCGCGCGTGTGTGTGTGTGTGTGTGTGTGTGTGTGTGTGAATGAGTGAGTTTGTGTGTTTGTTGGTGTGTGTGTGTTTGTTTGTTTGTTTGTTTGTTTGTTTGTGTTTGTG